GTTTGAGAAGCTAAAGGCAAGGAGAGACTTTCTGGCACAAACCCTCAGGGCTTGGCCACGCACCTGCCCCATCCAGGCAGGCACTGACCAGTGCAGAGCCCAACCGAGGGCTGCTCTCTCCCTGGTATCTTTGGAGACACGTGAGAATCGTGTCCACTTGGCACAACACCTCTTGGAGAGATAGCCACAATCCACCCTGCTGGCCAGCAGTCGACCGATGGCCCCTGGAGAATTGGAAAACTCTATAGCAAAGCTTTCTCCCTGAGCCATCCAAATTAATTGCCAACAAGCCCCAAACAAAATCTGGTCTTCATTCATTCATTCCTAAGCAAGGAATGATTTGGTCCAGCCTTCCAGAACCAAAGTGCAGGGTGCAGGGAACCCCCTCCCTCTCCCAGATCATTTGTAAAGCACACTGAAAACAGAGATGCTGGAGCAACACAGCTCAGGCCCATGCAGAAGAAAAGGGACCAGCAGCCACAGGAAGTCAGGCCAAGAATCTCAAAGCCTCCCTTGATCCAAGCTGTTTTCCTACCACTGACCAACTAACTAGCCAAGAGGAATCCTAGACCATTGAGGCTTGAGTGGGGCCTACATCTTTCCAGGAAGGACTCCCAGGCTCTTCCTAGACTGTCTACTTATTAATTGTCCTAAAAAAAAAACAGGCTCCCACACATACCCACTCTCCAGTACCAGGCCCACAAGACCTCTTTTCTAAGGTGGGTCTCTCACCCCACTGCAGAGAAACTTAATCTACAAATGCTTGAGTCAAGATAACCCCTCAGGCATGATTTCTGTAGGCTGTTCTTCCCCAACTGCACAGAGGTAATAGTAGCAAGTGATCAAGGACAAAGCAAGAACAAGGATGAAGGGGTTTTTTTAGGGGGGAAGGAGGTCTCCAGTAATTTTTAAAGAACAGTTATCATGGTTAAACAAACACACAACTTCAAGACAATGGGCCAAAAATGCCTGATGTTAAAAGCAATAGTGAAAGCCAGGCACCTGGTGACTCACACCTATCCTGACTAATCAGGAAGCTGAGATCTGAGAATTGAAATTTGAAACCAGCCTCAGTAGGAAAGTCCATGAGATTCTTACCTCCAATTTAACCATCAAGAACCTGGAAGCAGGGCTGGGAAGGTGGCTCAGTGGTAGAGCGCTTGCCTTGCATGCTCAAGGCCCTGGGTTCGATTCCTCAGCACCACATAAGAAAAAAGAAAAAAGCCAGAAGTGGCGCTGTGGCTCAAGTGGTAGAGTGCTAGCCTTGAGCTGAAGAGCTGAGGGATAGCACCCAGGCCCAGAGTTCAGGCCCCAGGACTGGACCCCCCCAAAAAAAAACAAAAAGAAAAACCTGGAAGCAGAGGTGTGGTTCAAGTGGTAGAGCACCACCCTTGAGCAAAAAAAGCTAACAGCATCCAAGCCCTAGGTTCAAGCCCCAGAACTGTGTGTGCACGTCTCTCTCTCTCTCCCTCTCTCTCTCACACACACACACACAAAGCAATCTAAACAGGTGAACGTTCAGTAAACTCTGTTGAGAACAATCCCATCATTAGGGGTAGTTTCAGGAGATGAGATTCTCATGTTTGCTGATCACAGTACTTGTAATTACCTCAGTGACCGCAAAAATTAAAAAAAATTAAGTATATTGGTTACAAAAGCAAGGAAAAATTCCCAAGACAACCAACTGATCTTCTGCCCATAGCAAGCAGTCTCCAATCCTGGGCTCTGTGAATCCTTGAACAACCTCCAAACCCACTTCAAGGACACATGATGTGCTTGTGTGGGAAGGAAGCCTGCAGGACACCACCTGCTCAACAGAGGGCGCCCCTACCACTCAGGATGGCCAGGTGTACTATGGATGGAAAGTGGGCATCCCTCCAAGACCTAGCTCCTTCTTTTTCTGAGTATGAACCTTACACAAACCATGGGGCTCCTCAGGGAACTCTGGACCATAGCCCTGAAGCCCAGGCAGCCTCCTGTCAGCCTCCATCATTTAAAGGGCACTTCCTGGGCTCCAGCAGGGGAGCAGCTAACCCATGGGGCAAGTCAGCATAGCCTTAGACCATGGAGCAGAAACTTGAGCTAGGTCTCCAATAGCCTAGAATAAAAAACCATGCCAAGGACTGGAAAATTGCTGGACTAGATATTCTTGAGCAAAGCAAAGATCCAAGAATTATGGCATTATGGTCTTATTTAAAAGGCAGCTCTCAGCTGGGCACTGGTGGCTCAGGACTGTAATCCTAGCTACTTAGGAGGCTGAGATCTGAGGATCTCGGTTCAAAGCCAGACTGGGCAAGAAAGTCCGTGAGACTCATAAGAAAACCAGCAGTGGCACTGTGGCTCATGTAGTAGAGTACTTGCCTTGAGCTGAAGAGCTGAGGGACAGCGCCCAGGCCCAGAGTTCAAGCCCATGACTGACAACAAAAAAAGGCAGCTCTCCACCTGCTTCCCTCATCTCATTGGGATATCAAACCCCCTGGCCCACCTCTTACCATCCTCCAAGAAGTGACCCCAACCACCGAGCCTCAAATCCAGACCCATCCAGGGCCTCAGACCCCAGCCAGCCCTGTCCAAGGGGTTCCAAGGGCAATGTGGCTCCTTGGTCCTGCCACACCTGCACTTCACGCCAGGAAGGGACCCACATCCTAGCTTCAACCCTGCTCCCAGCTCCCTTGACAAGTTTAGGAAGTGCTGAGCACAGGAAGCCAAGAGCAGGTATGCCTAACCTCCATGCTCCCTGAAGCAATCTGACCCTCACTAGCGTTCTCACATTCAAATCAACCAAGTGCCCCTTAGACTGAGGTTTGGCTGGATGGAGGCACACTGTAATCTGTAACTTGGGAAGCACGGGTAAAGATTGACAATTGAGGCAAGCTAAGCAAACAGTAGCAAAATCCAGGCAATGGTAGTAAACACTTGTCATCTAAGATGCTTGGAAGAGTCACTGTCCAGAAGAGCCCAAAGAATGTGACATCCTAGCTCCAAAACGAAAGGACTGGGTCATGGCTTAATGGGGCAAACTAGCAAACTGAAGCATTGCCAGATTAAAAGAAAAAAAAATGCTGCCAGGTGCCCATGGCTTACACCATGCCTGCACCCCTGCCCCTGGCTACTCAGGAGGCTGAGGCCATTTTCAAATCAGAAGCCAGCAGGGGCAGAAATAAACAGCAGAAAAGCCAGGTCCAGGCCCAGGGTTGTGGCTCAAGTGGTGAAACACTGACCAAGCAAGGAAGCAAAGTGAATTCAAACTGATACCAGGAAAAGGGGGGGGGGGAGGCCACATGGCAACTATCATCAGTATTTGGCACCCCTGTATTTCATCTGGCTGTTCCTGAGGACTTTATTCCAAAACACACCTTCAGTACTGAGGAAGTCACCGAAGAATAGAGGCTTCTGAAAGGAACACACATTTAACCTTAGAAACAAAACCCTAGCATCTAGGGACACCTACATACTCAAAGGGCATCTGTGGTCCAATCAAGAGCTTGTGCCCTTTGTGAACTTAAATCACAGCTTACAGTTTCTGTGCCCTGACATTCCAGCTCAGGCAGGTAGGCCAGATGGGCAAAAGAAACTGACGTAACTGAAGTTTGCACTATGCATTTCCCATCAGGAAAAGGGACTTGCCTGGCAAGCTCTCTCCCTGCTCTGGGTCTGAGGGATCTGTGCTAGGCGAGCAGGCTCAAAGCCAACTCCTGGATGTCAAGGAGGCCAGAGAACAGAGTGAAGACAAGGGACACATTTTCCTCTATGCCTAGTAAAGACCAAAGTAACAGCACAGCATCTCATCATGGAGGACCAGGTTTAAGAGATGAACTTGCCCATCCTTTATAAAAAAAAAATTTAAAAAAAGGCCTTGCACAGTGAACAGTAGCCATATGTTAGCCACTTTAATATGAAATGTGATCCACACTCAATTTCACGAGTTCAAAAAAGCATAGAAAAACCAGTTTCAATTTTATTACAAGTTTTTAAATCTGGGACCAGTTTTTTAAAATATGCTAATTTCAGCCCAGGGATTATTTTAACAGCCAAACTAAAAATCATTACAGTTACAGCAATGCGACAAACAAGTAAAAATTACAAACCCAAATCACAAACTTACAGTTAATAATCATGGTAAGGGACACCGCCAAAGAGTAACTGATGCCTTGTCCAAGTTTGAAAGAAATGTTACCTCTTGTGAGGGCAAAGAAACATGCAAACAATTCTGCTTCAGGAAATTTGCATAGAAATAGAAAATGCTGGAGCCTTTTGCCAGTGAAATTGTGAAGCCTCAACATGTTAAACTCAATCCAAGAAACACCAAATGTTAAATTGGAGCCAAGGTAGAACTTGAACATCTAATTTCCAGCTGTGTGAAATTCAGGTGTGGGATCAGCTGCAGGCAAGCTCTTTGACAAAGTGCCTTTCCTAGTGAAGCATTTGTTTTTGCAGTTGTTTGGATTTCAGGAGGGCACCAAGGCAGCAGAGGCTTCCAATCACCTCACTATGACTCCCAGCCCTTCCTGTCAGTCGGCACCAAATCCCAAGATGAGGCGCCTTACGGACTGAACCCAGAACCTCATCAGTTGGGCAGCACTCTACCACTCAACTGCAGCTACCCTGACATCAGACACAGTCCAGCCATGCCTTTAAGTGGCAGGGAAGCTGCTATTTGTTGGACGGCTGTCCAAGCACTTCTCATGCCTGCTTGCCTCCAGGGCCCTTCACTGGGGCTTTACAGGCAAGCCTCCTGAGGAAGCTATGCTAGGGCCTCCAGCGCCTCCTGCTGGAGGCCAAGGTGAACATGGCAAAGGCATGTAGAAACGGATTTTTTTTAACAAATTCTTCTCTGCACATTGACTTAATTTAAAACCTGGGACTTTTTACAATTGTTCTTTCTTCAATATGCACCAATGCCTAAAGGATCACATTTTGCTTCTGTAGAAAAAAAGGATTAACATACATTATTGAGCATCGATCAAGAGCAACTTGGAATTAAAAAGTGAAGACAAAAGTCTCAGAAACCTACATTTTATTGACACTGCCATTTCCCCACAAGAAATTTCCTTTTTAATGAATCAGGAATCCCACAATATATCCTGAATCCTCCCCCGTGAAGAAGGCCAGAGGCACACACACTCCACCCTTGTCCACTACCTGTTCAACATCAGTTCCCTTGCCATAGCCTTCTATAGTTCCATATCTCTACGGAGAACTGGGGGGCAAGTCTAAACACAAGGAAGCAAGTGAAGGCTGTTCACTGTGATTCCCAATTTTCCATCCAAGCCACACTGCAGAGATACAAGGATAAACCACTGTTTGGGTTCCCAAGTTTTATTCAAGAACTCATACAAAATATTCCAGATAAATGAATTTTAATCCTCGTCTTCCTCCTCTTCTTCGTCCTGGTTAATCTGGAAGTAACGTAATTCATAACTCTCTTTGCTGTTAGCAACTACGCGTAACCAATCACGTAGATTATTCTTCTTCAAATATTTTTTGGTGAGATATTTCAAATACCTGCAGAGAAAGGACACTTAAGAACTACACAAGACAGATGGTCGTCCATATTCTGAAACATCTTAACTTTTATAAAACCATGCATCCAAAAACACTCCCACCCTTCCAAAACAAAGGCAAGGCAAACCAGCAGTACCAGCCACATCACCTAAACTAGCCATAATAATTAGGACAGAGGCCAGGCACTGGTGGCTCACACCTGTAATCCTAGCTACTTAGGACCTGAGGATCACAATTCAAAGCCAACCCAGACAGGAAAGTCCATGAGACTCTTATCTCCGATAAACCATCAGAAAACCAGAACTGGCACTATGGCTCAAGTGGTAGAGCACTAGCCTTGAGCTGAAGAGCTGAGGGACAGCGCCCAGGCCCAGAGTTCAAACCCTATGATAAAAAGAGAACCTGCTCTTGTTGTCAAGGCAGACAATGGCTTTTATGCCCCAAATCCCAACTACACGAAAGACAACTGGAGCCTGAAACCATCTTCCTTCCCTTGTGCTGGCTGTAGCCCATAGGAACTATGTCACACAAAACCAGGGCTGAACCAGGCACCAGTGTCTCACACCTATCATCCTAGCTCCTCAGGAGGCTGAGATGTGAAGATCACGGTTCACAGTCCAAAGCCAGCTTGGGCAGGAAAGTCTATGAGTCTTATCTCCAATTAACTGTCCAGAAGTCGGAAGTGGCATTGTGGCTCAAGTGGTAGAGTACTCACTTTGAGCTAAAGAGCTCAGAGACAGCATGACTTCAGGGGGGAGGGGGAGTGCTGACAAATTAAAACTCCCAACACCTCAGATTCTTTCACTACAAAATGCACCTCAAGGGCTGGGAAGGTGGCTCAGTGGTAGATTGCTTGCCTCATATGCATGAAGCCCTGGGATTGATTCCACAGCACCACATAAACAGAAACAACCCAAAAGTGGTGCTGTGGCTCAAGTGGTAGAGTGCTAGCCTTGAGCAAAAGAAGCTCAGGGACAGTGCCCAAGCCATGTGTTCAAAGCCCTAGGACTGGCAAAAAAAAAAAAAATGTTGATAACAAAAAAAGGGGGCTGGTAAGATGGCTCAGTGGTAGAGTGCTCACCTTGCATGCCTGAGGCCCTAGGTTTGATTCCTCAGCACCACATAAGCAGAAAAGACCAGCAAGACCAGATGTGGCGCTGTGCCTCAGTGGTAGGGCACTAGCTTTGAGCTAAAGAGCTGAGGTACAGTGCACATGCCCAGAGTTTAGGCCCACTACTGACCAAAAAAAAAAAAAAAAAAAGGAATAAATGGCATTTAAATCATCCCATCTAAAAAGGTTTCCTTGTCATTTATTATTTCTATCACACCATATTCAGATAAGATATTTAGTTCAAATTTTCAGCTAGTGGAGCTGGGAATATGGCTTAGTGGTAGAATGCTTGCCTAGCATGCATGAAGCCCTGGGTTCCATTCCTCATTACCACATAAAACAGAAAAAGCCGGAAGTGGCACTGTGGCTCAAGTGGTAGAGTGCTAGCCTTGAGCAAAAGAAGCTCAGGGACAATGTCCAGGCCCTGAGTTCAAGCCCCAGGACTGGCAAAAAAATAAATAAAATTTTATGTATCTTGAAAAATTTCTTAATAGAATGTTAGAGAAACCAATGTCCAAAGATGAGAAAGAAAAAGTTTTATGTTAGGGAACACACCTTCAAATCCTTCAGGAAAATGATTTTCACCAAGAAAAGAAATCCCAAGAGGGTATGAGGGTGCACACCTGTAATTCTAACACCAGGGAAGCTAAAGCATCAGGATAGGAAGTGTAAGGCTCTCCTGGACTACATACTGAGACCCTATCTCAAACAAACCTAAGCAAACATAGCATAACAGTATCATTCTCTAATCACACCCAGTACTAAAGAGGCTGAGAAAGGAGGTAGCAAGTTAGAAGTCATCCTGAGCTTGTCTTGAAGTAAAATAAAGCTGAGCACCACCAGTGGGTCATGACTAATTTTAGACACAGGAGGCACAAGTCTTGAGAAAAGTGGTTTGAAGCCAGCCAGAGGAAAAAAAAAAAAGCAAAAAGTAGGTTGAAAGCATGGCTCAAATGGTAGCATGTCTGCTGTAAACAAGCAAGCCAAGAACTAGAGTTCAAACTCCAGGGGCTGGGAAGATGGCTCAGTGGTAGAGCGCATGCCTTGCATGCCAGAGGCCCTGGGTTCAATTCCTCAGCACCACATAAGCAAAAAGAAAAAAGCCGGAAGTGGCGCTGTGGCTCAAGTGGTAGAGCGCTAGCCTTGAGCTGAAGAGCTGAGGGACAGCGCCCTGGCCGAGTTCAGGCCCCATGACCAGACCCCCCCCCCAAAAAAAAACAAACTCCAGCACCAGCAAGAATTAATTTAACAATTCAGATGGACAGGCAGGCAGCCATAAAACCAAGGTCCTTGCCTTCAGGCACTGGGTAAAGAACAGAAATGTGTGAAAACATCACAGAAGATGTCAGCAACCTCCGCATACCATGCTATGAAGAAGTCTCCCGGGGATTCTGCTAGGTGTGGCCCAGGTTTTGCCTATACTCAAGACCCTACAAGGGTCTTGTCCCTACTCTCATACATCATGACTCAGCCATGCAGACCCTGACACCAAAGCTTAACCTCGTCTCTTCACTGCCATGAGCTTAATTACAGCCAGGTGTTTGCCCACCTTAAAATTCTAGTTCAATATGAGAAAAGCTAACAGGCCAGGCGGCTCGAGGATATTGAGAACTAAGCCGGCTGTAGACTTCAGAGCCTCCTTCTGTAGACTTCAGAGCCTCCTTAACACAGCAGGGCCACAGGGTGGAGCCAGAAGAGCAGTCAACTTCCGGCCCAATACCATGAAACTAAGGAAAGCCTTCATACTGGGTGCTGGTAGCTCAGGCCTGCAATCCTACTCAGGAGGCCGAGATCTGAGGATGTGGATCAAAATCAGTCTGGGATGCAAGTCCCAGATTTATCTCCAATAAACCAGCAGAACCCAGAAGTAGAGATGTGGATCAAGTAGTGAAGTGACAATACCCCAAGTTCAAAGCCCACTACTGGCACAAGCACCTGCACACAAATACCTACACCTCTTGGGCGAGGGATGGGTCCAAGGGTTAAGTCCCTGCCTGGAGCCAGGCGTTGGTGGCTCATACCTGTAATCCTAGCTACTCAGGAGGCTGAGATCTGAGGATCTTGGTTCAAAGCCAGCCTGGGCAGGAAAGTCTGTGAGACTGTTATCTCCAATTAACCACCAGAAAACCGAAGTGATGCTGTGGCTCAAATGGTAAAGGGCTCACCTTGAGCTGGATTTGAGGGACAGTGCCCAGGCCCAGAGTTCTAGACCCATGACCAAATCTCGCCCCCCACCCACACACCAAAAAAAAAAAAAAAAGTCTTCCAATGACCCAGAGACAAGGGAAGCCTAAGTCTGAGCACTTTACTGGCTGAAATATACTTTGCCTTGTGAAAGATCAAAATGCAATCCCTGCAAGCAGTATACTTTTTAATAGCATTCATTCACTCACTACCCATGCGCTGTAGGATAGTTAGCAGAAGGAACCAGGAGACCAAGGGACTCCCCAGGCGTCCGTCCGCATTCTCACCCCCTGGGAAGGGACCCGTACCTTTTGGAGAAAGGCACCTCAGAGGTTACAGTGATCTTGCTTTTGCTTCTCTCGATGGTGACCACTCCTCCACCGAGATTTCCAGCTTTCCCGTTCACCTTGATTCTCTCTTGGAGAAACTGCTCCTGTGGAAATCATCCAATGAAACAATTAATAAAGTGGTAGGTTCACCTGGCTCCACGGAATATTTTAATTTTCATTCCCAGCACTTAAGCTATGTATTTTTCAAATGTTTAGGTTTTTGTAAAGAATGCTCAGTGAGGCACCAGTGACTAATCCAAACTACTTATGAGGCCGAGATCTGAGGACCACAGTTTGAAAGCAGCCCAGGCAGGGAAATCTGTCAAGACTTACCTCAGGGACAGTTCAAGCCCCAGAACTAGCACCACAGGGGATCAAAAAAAAGATTTTTGAGAACTTGAATTACCCCATCACTGATATGCACACATAGCACACTCGTTTTATTTCAGCTGATGGCAATAAGCCATAGAGGTTCCAATGGCATTCTGTTTAAGGCCTTGCCTTTATTTTTCATGTTTTGAAAAATCATTTTCCTTAATTACTGATATTGGCAGAACTGACCTGGAACCAAAGAGCAAATGTAAAATTAAATGTAAAATTAAAGACAACACAGAGCCCAACTCCCCAGGAAGGTGAGTCACAACGGAGCTGCAAACTGGGCACTGATGGCTCACGCTTGTAATCTTAGCTATTCAGTAGGCTGAGATCTGAGGATCATGGTTCAAAGCCTGGGCAGGAAAGTGCATTGGATTCTCATCTCCAATTAAACACCAGAAAATCAGAAGTGGCACTGTGGCTCACAGTGGTAGAACACTAGCCTGGCCAAAGAGCCCAGAGAGAATGCTCAGACCTAAAGAGTCTAAGTGTGAAAGTGAGATTATGTAAATAATAGTCTTGTCAGGTCCAGTGGCTCATACCTGCAATCCCAGGAGGCTGTGATCTCCCAACCCAAACTAGAAGCCAGCCTAGGAAGGAAAGCCTGTGGAAGTGGAGCTGTGGAGCTCAAGTGGTAGAGTTCTAAGCCAGGCACCAGTGGCTCACACCTATAATCCTAGCTACTAATGAGGCTGAGATCTGAGGATCATGATTCAAAGCCAGACCCGGCAAGAAAGTCTGTGAGATTTTATCTCCAAATTACTAGAAGTTGGAAGTGATGCTGTGGCTCAAATGGTAGTGTTCACCTTGAGCAGATGGGTTCAGGGACAGAAACCAGGGCCAGGGTTCAAGCCCCATGACCAATAAAAAAAAAAAGCAAGAAAGTGGTATAGCTCCAGCCTTAAGCAAAAAGAAGCTCAGGGACAGCACCAAGCCCAGTTTAAGCTTTAGAACCAGCACCAAGGAAAAAAAAGTGTTTTTTGCTCTGAGACAGAAAATCAAACTCAGTTCCTGACACTTATGTTCACTGGATAGAGTTCTACTAACTGCACCGTCCTCCATTCCCACTTCTCTACTCAAGCCGGCAGAACACAGGAGTACTGGGGAGTAGCACCAAAATAGGGACAAAAAAAATCAGCACAGCAGCAAGTCTGAAAAGACCCAACTCCACCAACAATGCAGCAAGCAGGATCTTGTCAAGTAAACCCTGAAACTCAGGAGCTGCCGCCACCCCCACAGCTCCACAGCCACAGGATCAGTCATCACATGTTCACACGTGCAAAGGACAAGGGCAACACAGTACTCAACAGAGCTAGTGGCACTGTGGCTCAAGTGGTAGAGCTCTAGCCTTGAGCTAAAGAGCTGGGATAGGACCCAGGCCCAGAGTTCAGGCCTCACAACGGACAAAGAAAATCCTAGCTACTCAGGAGGCTGAGGATCTCTTTTGACGCCAACTTGGGCAGTAAAATCCCAGAGATCTCCATCACCAATTAACCAGCAAAATGCCAGACTGGATATGTGGTTTAGTAGAGGCTAGGAATGTAGCTTAGTGGTAGAGTGCTTGCCTAGGATACATGAAGCCCTGAGTTCAATTCTTCAGTACCACATAAACAGGAAAAGCTGGAAGTGGTGCCATGGCTCAAGTGATAGAATGCTAGCCTTGAGCAAAAGAAGCTCAGGAATAGCTGGTCATCAATGGCTCATGCCTGTAATCCTAGCTACTCAGGAGGCTAAGATCTAAGGTTCACAGTTCAAAGCCAGCCCAGGCAGGAAAAGTCTGTGATACTCTTATCTCCAATTAACCACCAGAAAACCAGTGGTATTGTGGCTCAAGTGGTAGAATGCTTGCCTTTGAGCTGAAGAGCTCAAAGACAGCGCCCAGGCCTGGAGTTCAAACCCACTGACCAACAACAACAAAAAAAATGTAGCAGCAGCAGTGCAGGGACAGTGTCCATGCCCTGAGTTCAAGCCCCAGGACTGGCCAAAAAAAATTCTAACAAACAAATATACTAATGGTAGAATACCAAGGAAGTCCTGAGGCTCAGTAATGGTACATGTGTGTGTGCATGTATGAACAAACTACATAGCCTTCATACACTGAGTAAATAACTGGTCAGAAGTGGAGGCTGTCTCAAGCCTGTGCATGTCCAGGTCTCAACAGCATCAGAAGGTTCACAAGTGTAACAAGACAAAACTTACAAAATTGGCAGCATCCATGATTCCATCTTCTACAGGGTGGGTGCAGTCCAGGGTGAACTTCAGAACCTGCTTCTTTTTTTTGCCCCCCTTCACCACAAGCTTTTTCTAGGAAAAAAAAATACAGATAAAACTGAAATCTGTCAGCAAAAAAAATACAACAAAACAAAAAAAAATCAAAGATCTAAAAGCCCATTAAACAT